GGCCTCCCAGAGAGCTAGGATTACAGGCGTGAGCCACCACGCCCGGCCTGTATATTTTCTTTTGTGAAGCTGTTAAAATCTTTTGCACTTTTAAAAGATAAAAAAACTTTATTGAAATTTAGCTTACGTATCATATAACTCATTACCTTATAGTATGTAAGTTGATAGTTTTTAGTATCTTCACAGAGTTGTGCATCACCACAGTGAATTTTAAAGCATTTTTTATCACCTCAGGAAGAAATCTTGTTCTCATTAGCAGTCACTTCCTGTTCACCCCCAATCTCCTAGCTCTAGACAGCCACTAATCTACTTTTCTCTCCATTGATTTACCTCTTCTAGACGCTCTATGGAAGTGTCATCATATGTGGTCTCGTGTGACTGCTTTCACTCAGCGTGCTGTTTTCAAGGTCCATCCACGCTGTAGCGTGTGTCAGTGCTTCATTCCTTTAATTAGATTCCATTGAATGGATATATAGCATTTTGATTATCCATTCAACAGTTGATAGATACTTAGGTTATTTCCACCTTTGGGCTATTATTATTACTAATGCTGCTGGGATAATTTATGAACACATTTTCTTTTAATTGGGCTTTCTGTCTTACTACTGAATTGTAAGAGTATAAGAGTTATTTATATATTGTGGATACAAGTCTTTTGTCAGATATTATCTCCTTTCTATGAATTTTTCATTTTTTCAATGGTGTGGTTTGGGATGCAAAAGTTTTTAATTTTGATGTTCAATTTATCAATTATTTTATTTTATGGTTTGTATATTTTGGCTCTTCAGAAATATTTGACTAACCTAAGGTCACAAAGATTTTTTGCTGTTGTTTTTTTTTCTTTTCAAGAAGTTTTATGTTTTAGCTCTTACTTTAGATCTATGATCCATTTTGAATTAATTTTTGTGTGTAGTGTAGGAGTCAAGGTTCATTTTTTCCCCACGTGACTGTTTATTCTAGCACCACTCTTTGAAAAGACTATCCTTTCCCTGTTCACCTTTGTAAAAAATCAACTTGATGATAGATGTGTGGGTCTGTTTCTGGACCCTTGCATTGTCTTGACTGTTGTTGTTTGTCCTTGCAGTTCTATTGGTTTTGCTGCATGTATTTTGAAGATGTGTTATTAGGTACATAAACACTTAGGATTATTATGTCTTCATGAGTTTGCCCCTTTATCATTATGAAATGACCTTCGTCATCCCTGGTGATATTTTTTGCTCTAAAATCTATTTTGTCTGATATTGATATCACTAGCCCAGCTTTATTTTGCCCATTGTTAGCGTAATATATCTTTTTCCATTCTCTCACTTTTAACTTATTTGCATCTTTATATTTAAAGCGTGTTTCTTGTAAACACTGTGTAATTGGGTCTTGCTTTTATATCCATTCTGTCAATCTTGGTCTTCTAATTGGAATGTTTAGACCATTTACATTTAATGTAATTATTGAGGTCATTAGGTTTAATTAAGTATGTCATCTGGCTGTTTGTTTTCTATTTGTCACATCTGTTTTGTTCCCTTTATTCTTTATCTGTCTTCTCTTGGATTAATTGAATTTCTTGGTAATTTTAGTTTGTCTTTTTAGATAGCTTATTAGCTACAACTCATTGTTTTGTTATTTTAGTGGTTGCCTTAGCATTTATAGTTTGAATATTTAACTCATCAGACTCTACTTTCCAGTGATATTTTACTACTTCATGTGTAGTGTAAGAACCTTATAATAGTATGCCTTCTTTTCCTCTCTTTATGATTTTTTGTCTTATATTTTACTTTATGTTATAAATCTATATTATTATTTTCACTTAAACAGTTAATTATTTCTTAAAGAGATTTAAGTAATAAGATAAAGCTTTATATATCTACCCATGTAGTTACCATTTCTGGTGCTCTTTATTCCTTTATGTAGATTGTGATTTTCATCAGATGTCATTTTCTTTCTGCCTGAAGGATTTCTTTTATCATTTCTTGTAGTTCAGATCTGCTGGTGATGGATTCTTTCCATTTTGAATGTCTAAACAAGTCTTTATTCACTTTTGATTTCCTGTCTTTGGGTGGTCCAAGGCTAGCCATAGTTCACATTGGTTTCCTGAGCTCGTGGGTCCACTCTATCAGAAGGCCCCACCTCAGGGTGCCCCTCCATTGACCAGAGGGGCCCTTCAGCATGTTCTTGGGTTACCTATAGCAGAGATTGTGAAGTTTCTCCTCAGTAGGCCTTCAGTAGCTCAGATCATGTTTATGATGGGATATGGTCACTTCGTCCCACAGTGACAATCACATTTTCTCCCTTAGTGGCCAGAGCTTCCTCTGGAATGCCTGAGTGCACTCAGTTCCTTCATTGTTTGCCACCTTGTGGTGGAACTTTCCTTTGCCACATCCAGGACTGCTCCTCAGCCGCAGGCTGACCTACTGCTGTCCTGTGTGCTGCTTCAGGGGACTTGGGAGGCTTCTCTTTCCTTTCAGTAGCTGCCTCTGTTCCATGAGTGGGGTCTCCCCAGCTTTTTCTTTCCTTGCTCCCCTCAAAATAGGCATTTATAAGTCCCTCTCATTTTACAAGTTTTATGGCTAATCAGCACAGGAAGATAGAAAAGTAAAAATAATAAACATGGGGAAATGTCTGAATTTTAAAAAATTCTCTCAAGAGCTATAGTTCTTCATTCAGTCATTGAGAGGGCTATCAGATGCCTCTTTGGATCTTTTCCTTCTGCATTATTGGTCACTTAATTCCTTCCCACTGTCCTAGGACTTTTCTCCAAGACTGTCTAGGCCTGAAGAATCAGAAAAGAAGAAAAAGATTTTATTTTCCCTTCTCACAAGGCTAGTTTCAGACTCTGATGACTGCCAGACTGGAAGATGTGGGTCCCCATTGTACGATTTTGATCTCCATTGGAAGGATCATCTTTGGACGTTCCTTGCCAGTCTCTGTCCTCCTTCTGGACATAGGTTGCTGACTTTCTTTTGCTCCATGATTGTATTAATATTACCTGCTCTTAGCACAACTTAGCAGTCCTTCAGTCAGTGTTGCCCAAATAACCATATGGATCATTTCTTATCTCCATAGTCAGATTATTGCCAGAGGGCTGCTCGATATCTTCCGGGACTTCAGTAACAATGAAGAAGACTTCTTAACAGTAATGGAGATTGTAGTCAGATTATCAGAAGATGCAGGTTTGTATAAGTATCGTATAAATTTTATTTTTTGCTTATGCATTTCTAAGAAATTATATATAACCAATGATAGCTAATTTAAAATACATGTTTATTAAGTGATAAAGTTTAAGCATTGTCTAACCATGAATGGATTTTGGCATGCCAAATGGGCATCTTATTTGAATATGACTCAAATTATCCTTATTTTTAGAAAATTAGAGTGACTAATGGCTCTGAGTGCTATTTGTCCCGGCAGTTAGGCCTTTTGTATTTCTTAAGCTTTATCTGACTATTGGTTGCTAAGAAATGCAAAACTAAAAGAAGTCCTTTGGATTAGAACAATTCCAGTCATTAGTTTCTCTCACCTATGATCTTTGTAGGCTAATCTTGATTTTTCTTTCTCTTTCCACTTCTCTGTGATTGCTATTCTAGAAGAAAAGCACATTGCTGTACAGCAGACACTATGACGTTATCTTTCCCCCCACCCCACCCCCGGTAAAGATGAGTCAGATGAGTTAGTGGCGGGGTTGCTAGTTCTGACAGCTACGCTACAGCCCTCCACTTCCCCGCATTCATAATGAATGGTGAGCAGCTTCAGAAAGTTTTGGAAATTTGAGGCCTGAGAATTTGATCATTTTAACTGAAAATAGAAAAATAAGCTTTCCATATAGCTCCCATATTTATTTAAAATATTCATGTGAATATGACACAACACTTTTAAAAAGGCCCAAGTGGATGTTTTGAGTCTTTACTCATTTACTCTCTTTGTAAATGAGTCACCATTTACAGTGCTGCAGCAATTATATATTTGTGTTAAATTTAATGTGGTGTATTGGAGCTAGAGCCACTCTTTTGTTTAATACTTTGCCTTAGAAATAATTGGGATGCGTGGATTGCGGGGGAGTGCATTTATGAAAGAATTATTTATAATGTATACATTCAGGCTAGAATTTAAATAAGCACAACCCATAGGTCTGGCATATAAGCCATTAGTTGTAATGGCTTTTGGATGCTGGCCCAGCATGCAGACTTCTTACTCCCTCCTCGATTTATATATGGCTTGTTATAATAGAGTTGTCATTCTCTCTTCTTTTTATGTTTTTATATTGCCGTATAGCTTATTAGCTTTTTAAGCCTGTCTGTAGCATAAATACTCTAAATGGGAAATGATTTTTAAACTGCATTTGTCTAATTTCCTTGATGAAGTATTTTAGTAAGAAAAGCTAGAAACTATCAGTATATACTATATAAGATGCTTGGCTTATTCTTAATATAATTCTTTTTTTTTATTTTTTACTGCTGCAGAGCCCACAGTGCGGACTGAGCTGATGGAACAGATTCCCGCTATTGCTGTTTTTTTACAAGAAAACAGATCAGATTTTCCAGCGGTGTTCTCTGAATATCTCATACCTATTGTAGTGAGGTACCTCACAGATCCAAACAATCAGGTTTGAAAAATTGTAATCTTCAGATCTTTTTATCAATTCTATTTAGTTTTATTTTAGCCGATTTACATAATTCCGAAAACAGCTTCTTAGGAGTTAAGTGATGCAAGAACAAAAGGTCTGTTTGTGCCCAGTTCCTGTAATCATGTAGGAAGATAGACAGCACTCATTCTTATCATGAGCTATTTCTTTTTTTTCTTTAACTTTTTATTATGGAAATTTTCAAACACACGTAGCAGCACAGAGAATATTAAAATGAATGCCCATGTGCCCTTCTCTCAGCTTCAACCATCATTAACATTTGACCAGTCGTTTTATATTTCTCTTACCCAGATAACACCCAACCCAGATGAAAGCAATTCCCAGACACCGTATCATTTCAACTGTAAATACTTTTTGTCTAAGACTGAAGACTCTTTTTAAAAAACATAATGACAGTATCACTATTGCAAATGTAAAAATTATCAGTAGTTATTTAATATCATCTAATATCTAGTCACTGGTCAAATTTTCCTGTTTTCTCATAAATGTGTTTTTTGCAAGTAGTCTGTTCCAATCAGGATACAAACAGGGTCCACACATTGAATTTGGTTGATAAGTCTTTTAAATATCTTTAAATTTATGATAGTTATCCCTTCCTTTTTTCCCCTTTGCTGTTTGTTAGCAAACCAGGCCATTAGTTTTATAGCATTTCCCACATTTGAGATCTGGCCGATTGCATCTCTATAGTGTTAAGATGTTCCTCTATTCCAGGTATTTCCTATAAACTAGTAGTTGAAGTCCAGAGGCTCAATAGGACTCATATTTTCTGTTTTATCGAGAATACTTTTTAGATGGTGCTGTGTTTTCCTGCCACATCAAATCAGGAGGCACAAAAGCTCTGGATGGTTATTTTTTCCTTATGTTGAGTTTGGTCACAGGATTCAGGTGTTGTCAGCCTTATCCTTTCATATGAAATTCCTCTGTCAACCTGTGAGCAACCGTTGGTGATCATTGCCTAAATCCAGTGTTTCATTAGAGGTTGTAAAATTCTGACACTGACACCGTGATTCCATCATTCCTTTCTAGTTTAATAGCTGGAGTTCTTCTTTAAAGAACTTCCCCTATCAACTGTTTGTTAGCCCTGAAAACCTATTTGTATAGGAAAGACAGAATAAATGCTTTATTTTATCCTTTATTTACCAGTTTCCACAATAATTAGTTGGTGTTCTAATAATCTACCAAGGTTCCCAATTAGGTTTTAAAAATGTGTTTTGAGTATTATTACGAACTCCTGAATTTTAATATAGTAGATATGTTTCAACCCATTGTAGTTATTCGGTTTAATGATCAAGTTGTCTCAGCTTTGACCAGTGGGAGCCCTTCAAGTTGGCTCCAGGATCTTTTTGACGTGACTCAGTAGACTGTAGTAGCACACCTCTACCTGAAACTGACCATCTTTCCAAGGAGCCACGGTTCCTTTACACAGGAAACGATAGTAAGAAACCAGAGTGTGGGTCCTGGGGGTTCTCGTTGCTATGAGATCGATCATTACTTCTAGTAACAGAGCAATTTGTTTTCTAAATAAAAATTCCTCATGAATTTACACTGGTATTTCCAACTCAAATTTAGGATTATAGGGATTTTACTTAATTTTGATTTTATATTTGTATCTTTTTTTTTTTACTTAAATGATCTAAATCTTGCTTCTTAATGGCATTAATGTGTGTGTGTATCCAAAATAAAATGATCAGAATTATAACTAAACATGATAGGATTACTGAAAATAGTGTAAGATTTCTTTGCAATTCCTGTGTTTTAGGGCCACATCCCACTAGAGATGTCCAGCCATATTCATGCTCCCTTCTCTTTGTGGTCAAGCCACCATCTTAATACATAGTTATGCTCTTTTGTTTTCATTTGTTTTTTAATTTTAGGAATTGCTCTAGCTTTTACATTTGATTTAATTTTGATTTATAATTATTTAATATGTTTACTTGATTCCAAAGTCAAAACTCTAAAACAAAGTACATTGAGAGAAATCTGCCTTCCATCCCTATCCCCCCATCTGTTCTCTTCCTCCCTTTGAGGTAACTGTTTCTTTTAGGTTTTGGTTTATTCTTACCTTGAAACACACACACACACCACACACACACACACACACACACACACACACACACACACACACACACAAATAGCTCTCAGGTTATGTCCTTGCGTCTGCCACCCATCCCTTTCTCAGATGTAAGGTGCCATCCCCTTTCTGCTGTGCTGCGCCTGCCTTTTCCTCAGTGAGTGCCCTGGAGCCCGGGCAGTCCGTGCTTCCTTCCTCGCAGTGTGGTGCTCCATCAGGCGGGACGGAGCAGAGTTTATGGATGGATGTTTGACTTATTTCTAGTCCTTTGCCACTTTAAAATTGCTGCAGCAAATAGCCTTGCATCATTTCTGTTTGTGCCAGTGTATTCTGAGGATGGCTTTCCACAAAGGGCAAATGTATTTAATTTTTAATGGTATATCATTTTTTCATTATTGTTATTTGTAAGAAATTTAAAAAATTTAGCTTGTACTTCTCCCTTGATCCAAGCATTTTTAAAAGAGCAAACTCTTTTTTACACTCATTTTTAACTGTTAAACAGCGTGACAGGATTAAATGGAGTTTTCAAATAAGGAAAAAAGTCATCCTATTTCCACTCTCCTAACATCGGTATTTTGATTATTTTTGCATTTTCCTCTCTAGGTGCTTACATTTTTTTCCACATAGGTCTAATGATAATGTGATATGATTTCTCCCATTCACTCATTTATTCTGATGGTTTCTGAGTGTCCGTTATGAGCCCAACACAGTGCTTTGTGCCTGGGGATAAAGAGATGAGCAGGACAGATTTTCTACCCTCAGAAAGCTCATCTACATGTCATAGACATTTTACTGTGTTTCTTCATAATCTTCATATTTTTACTTTTGTTGAATGCTTAGATTTCTTTCAGCTTTTTTGTACTGTAGATGCGGTGAGCCTTGTAAAGGATGCAGTTCTGTTCTTTTACTGACTTTTCTTTTTCCTTTGGATCCATTCTTCAAAATAAGATTATATTGGGTTGGGGGATTTGTCATTTTCTTGATCTTTGTCATATAGCATTGCTATATATTCTGTTCTAGAAAGATAGAGGCAGGACATGTGGTTTTGACCCCAGGATCTAGCATGGTGCCTGAACCCAGTGTGTATTTGCTGCGGAGTTGTATGCAGGGCCAAGAGCAGGCACCCCCACCGCAGCCCACGCTGCGCCTGCACCCCACCATCTACCCATTCACCCTAACCACCCCTTGCACCCACACCCACAGTCGCTCCCTGCCACCTGGTGCCTCCAGAACTTCCACACCTCCCCTTCCCAAAGGTGGAAGGCCACCTCTGACCACAACTTGCCCCACTTTCTTTACTCCCCATCTCCTGGGCCTTTCTACCTTGCAGGTGACTGACTCCACAGCCACTGGCCTCTGCCTGCTTTTACTTCCTGCTACTCCTCAGCTGCTCCCTCTCTCATCCCACCCTTCCAAGCCCGTTCCTGCCATCACCCTCCATTTTTTTGTCTTTTTGACAGTGCTCCCATCACGTTGGCCCTGCCTGCCCAGCGCAGCCCACCAGCCTCCTCCACTGTTGGTTGCTGAGCTCGGTGGAGCCAGTCCCATCATGCATTGCACTGTGGTTGCTGAGCTTGGCGGAGCCAGTCCCATCATCCACTGATTGGTGCCATTGCAAATTTATGGCTTTCAGGTGCTGCTGGATTTGCAGCACTGCATGGCAGTCCTTCCCCTTATCCCTCATCAGCTGCTTTTCACATTATCCTTGGCAGCTCTTTTAGACCTCTGCCACTTTCATCAGGCTCTCTTACCTCTCCCTGTCTTGCGCCAAGCAGGTGACCTTGCCTTTTACATCACAGAGAAAACAGAGGCCTTCAATCTTCATCCCCTATCGCAATGAAGGGAACCACCATCTACTTTATTCAATTCCCCAGAGCTGCCACCTGGGAACCGTCAAAATCCTTCCCTCTTACCTTCTATATCCAGCTGGACCCAAGCTATGTCTCCTTTGTTTCCATCATAAATACATAACCCCTCGAGGTGCCCCTCCATTCCCCTCCCCTATACACACATGTGCTGAAGTTCTATCTCACCGAACACTCTCAGACTCATTAATGCCCTGAGACACAGCTCAGAGTCCTCATGGGTCTCCTGTCCGTCCCACCTCGACTCTGCAGGTGTCTGCCTGTCCCCTCTGCTCATCCTGACCTCCTTGCTGTTCCCAAATGCCTCCTCCCCTTTTATTTCTGTCAGTCTCTGTCTCCCTTTAACAATCTCTCTCTCTGTCTGTCTCTCTCTTGTCTCCATTTCTCTCTGTGGTCCCATCTGCTTGTCTCAGAGCTTGCTTGTTTTTCCAGCTCTCTCATTGGCTTTTCTCTTTCAATCATAATCATGCCTCAGTCTCCCCTATCTCTCGGTTCCCTGGCCTTGACCCAGAGCTGGCCACCCACTCCTTTCCCTCCTGCCAAGCTTCTTGAGAGAAGAACCTCCATAGCCCCTACCTTTGGGCTCCTGCTTGGGCACCAGTTCCTTGGGCTGCATCTGATGCTCTGGAAACCGGTTGATAGGCCTCTTGCTGTGACTCAATGAATCTTCTCGTTGTATAATCCAATGCTTTTGTTTTTTTAAAAAATAGTTCTGATTTTTAAAATACCATGAAATATTTTCATCACAGAAGAGAGGATTGTGCATTAAACACCCATATACCTACCACTCATATTCAACAAATGTTAGCATTTTACACATTTGCTGCATTCCCATTTATTTTTTTATTTAGAGGTTACAGATACGGTTACAACTCCCCTGTACCGCTCCTCCATCCCATCCTTCTCCCTCCCTCCCTCCCTTTCCATGGGAAACTGCCATCCTGAGCTCGGCGTGTCACCTTTTCATCTGGGTTTTCATAGTCACACCACTTGTGTATGTGGCCCTGAATAAGCCAGTGTCTTGTTTTGGGTGCTTTAAAACCTTACATAGTTGGCATCAGATTATACGTTCTATTCTGCTGATTGCGTTTATTTCTTTGTGTTTTAGATCCATCCACATTGATCCAGATAGTTCCTGGTCGTGCATTTTAACTCTTTAATATCATTGCATTTATATTTCTTCCACAGTTTATTTATCTATTCAGTGATTTCTCTTCTTTTTTCCTTTGCCTGATCCATTTGCACCATTTTTTACTGTTAACCACTTCTGGGCATTTAAACAAATCTTTTTCACTGGATCCCACTAGGCATTTAACAATGCTCCAGCCCAGACAGTGGGATGAAAAGGTAACAGAACACATCCCTTGTTCTTCCTGGAGTTCTGAATTGGGTTCCTCTAAGGACTTCCTTCCTTTGGCTTCTAATAATAGTGGGTTTTTTGTTTGTTGGTTTGTTTCTGGTTTTTTTGAGGCAGGGTATTGCTTTGTTGCTGAGGCCAAAGTGCAGTGGTGTCATCACAGCTCGCTGCAACCTCCAACTCCTGGGCTCAAGCGATCCTCCTACCTCAGCCTCCTGAGTAGCTGGGACTACAGGCATGTGCCATGACACCTGGTTTGTTTTTCTATTTTTTGTAGAGACAGGGTCTCACTTGTTGCCCAGGCTGGTCTCAAACTCCTGGCCTCAAGTAATCCTCCCACCTCAGCCTCCCAAAGTGCTAGGACTATAGGCATAAGCCACCACACCGGCCTAATAATGGTTTTAATAATAGTAATAGACAACATTCATTTGGCACATTCTGTGTCCTAGACCCTGTTCTAAGCCCTTTACGTATTTTAAGTCCTTTTATCCCCACAACCCTGTGGGATGGGTACTATCATTATCCAGTTTTACGGATGAAGAAACTGAGGCTCAGAGAGGCCAAGGCCCTTGCCCAAGATGACTCATCTAATAATATGCAGAACATGGACAGGTGCAGCATTCAGAGTCTACAGCAGAATCCGGAAGCGCTGCAGTGTCACCTCTTGAGCTCCCAGGTGTCCTCCCTACCTCTTCCCTCACTTCTCGTCTGTGTCTCCCTCCGTCTCCATCACTAGCCCTTGATCCTCTCCAACTCCTCAGGGCTGGTGTTCTCTAGGATATTGTCTTCAGTTTTCTTTTTCTTGCAGTATTAGGGTTCCTTCCGTGCTCTCATCTGCCAGGGTCCTGGGGAGAATCTTCGTGCAGGTGAACACCAGGCTGTGGTCTCATGCCCAGGTCTTGGGAGCTTGTGAGTCCCTGCCCCCTACCGCGTATCCCACCAGCCGACTTTACCTAGAAGTCCGGGGAACTGTGTGGAGCTCCAACTCTAGCACCCAGTACTATCCCCTCTGCCTTCAGTCCCGTTCCTCCTTCTGTTTTTCTCTGTTTCAGTAACTGGGGGCCTAGGCAATGATGACAAAGTCACCTTTGGTTTCTGTGATCATCCCAGGTGGCCACTCAGCCATCTGTGGCAGCGTCTCCTAAACCTCCCCACTTCTTCCTGTCCTTCCTGTCCTTCCTTCCTCATACCTCGTTAGAGCTTGGAGCATCTCCACCCATGAGCCCCTCACCTGCTGTCTGAGCTTTTGGAACCACTTTAGGTTTCCAAACTGTCACCCTCACTGAAACCAAATGTGCTCTTGTCACTCCTCAGATTTTCAATGCTCGCTGGCTCCCATTGTTCCTAGAATGGTCACTGGAGGTCATAGTGGGCCATTGAAAACTTATCCCATCTGACCTCAGCTTGCCCTTAGCCTCTGCTCTGTAATTCCACCTGGGCTGCCCTGTTCCTGCTGTTGAGAATTGTCACACTCCTCCAGAGTGTTGGCCCCAGAGTGTATCACTGCACCTTGGAACGTGCTGTTCTCTGAGCCTGGAAGGCCCTTCTTCTCCCCTCCCCTTGCTCAGTGGGTGCATTTCCTGGGGCTGCTGTAACAAAGCGCCACATGCATGAGACTCACAGCAACAGATGTTTTGTCTTGCACAGGTCTGGAGGCCACGAGTTCAACATCAGGGTGTTATCAGGGTGTTATTGGGTGGTGCTCCCTCTGGAGACTCTGGGGGAGGATCCTTCCTTGCCTCTTCCGGCTTCTGGTGGTTGCTGGATTCTTTGGCTTGTGGCCACAGCAGTGGAGTCTGCATCTGACTTCACACGGCCTCTCTCCTCTCTTGTCAGTATTTTTTCCTCTTGTCTTTCTCTCATAAGGACATTTGCAATTGCATTTAGGGCCCTCCTGGCTAATCCCGGATAATGTCAGGAACTTTAACTTAATCACATCTGCGAAGACCCTTTTCCAAAGAAGGTCACATTCACAGATTCTAGGGATTTGATGCAGACGTGTCTTTTTGGGGGCTGCTGTTCAACCCACTACTCGTAGCAGACTCCTACCTGTGTTCTGACATCTGGCCCTGTGTGCACTGCTCAGGCCCTCCTCTCCTTGCCTGGTGCGACCTCTCCATCCCTGCTAGGCTTTGTGCATCCTTAGTGCATCACGTGGGGTGGTGGTGTTCAGCAAGGCACCTGTGGGCTTGTCTCCTTATCTGTGATCCTCTCATGTTCTCAGTCCCTGACACATGCTGGACATGCAGTCAGAGTTTGACACCTTGGAGCTATCGTGGACTTTTGCTTCTTGTAGTCAGACCCCAAGTCCTGTCGCCGTGCCTGGGTAATATTGCTGGGGCATCACCTTTCTTCACTGCTGGCAGCCAGCCCAGGCCTCCCCCTCCCACCTGGATTGTTGCAATAGCTACCTTGCTGCCCTTTCTGCTCTCAGTCTTTCATCGCCTCCAGTTGACTCAGAACACCACTGTCAGGATAATCTTTCTAAAATACTGTTTTCATCTGTCACTTGGGCGGAAGCGTTAGTGTCATATTGCTTCTGAGGCTTTAGTCTCACAGGCTTGCCCTCTTTTGTAACCTGCTGTCAACTGATCATCTGCAACTCTGTCCACGTACTTCTGGCTCCCATACCTATTTTCCTACTCTTCCATCCCTGCAATTAGTTACATATTTCATTGCTTTCTCTACAAATTGGAATTTTATGTGCTTTCATTTTCCCAAAAAATGTCTCCCAAGCTTCTCTGGATCCCTCTGAGCTCTAATGCTCGCTAACTCCATGCAGACTGCAAAGATCAAGACCTCTTCAACCTCTGTCTTCTGTAGGTTGCAGAGTCTTTGTTTCCCGTGGGAGTGTCCCACATTGTCAGTGGCTCTTCCTTGGATCCCCTCCCTGTGGCATTCTTTTGTACCAGACATAATTCATGCCTCAGATGTGGCATGCCAGGGTTTACAGAGTAGAAGGGGGATTGTGCAGTGTTTTCCAATCCCTGTGCCTACAGAGGAGAAAATGCATTAAGTCATCCACTTGTTCAACAAAGCCTAATAGAACGCAACATTTTGTGTTGCATGCTGCCAGGTCCCGAGGGTGCAGTGGAGGACAAGGGACAAATCAGATGTGGTATCTACTCTCTGAGTTCACTCTGCAACAGGTGTACAGGCAGCAATTATGGAATCATACAGAAAAAAAAAATACATATATACATAAGTATGTATGTCTATGCAGAAGTCAGGAGTAGAGCTATTTAAATGTTGACTGGGGACCTGGTTGGACAGGGTCCGGGAAACACAGGGGCTTTGCGCTGGGGGTGGAGGAGTGGTGGAGGCAGTCAAGGTGGAAGGAGTGGCATATTCAAAAGCCTTGGGAAGGAAGGAAAGCAGAGAGCAGGAAGACTCAGTGGTCCCTGCGTGCAGAGAGCAGGGAAGGGAGGCAGGGGCCAGCTCTGCTTAGGGAGTTTGGTCTTGATCCTGAGAATACTTCTACTCATTTTGTGTTTCACCTTTTGCCTTTTTTTCTCCTAGGTTAGAAAATCAAGTCAGGAAGTACTCTTGATTCTTCTGGAACAAGACCTAATTTTCCAGCATGATATTGAAAACAAAGTGTGTCCGATTCTGCTAGAGCTCTCTGCTGCAGACAGTGATGATGAATATAAAGTGGAAGCCGTGAGTGTAAGTGTGTCCAGGGAATGGCTGCCCAGCACCCGTGGGCACCATCCCATAGTTGACTTACGCAAGACTTGAAGTATTGCACGCTTTCGATTGTGGCCAGCAATGTTCCCATGAACAAGATAGCCAATGACTCGACCTAGGTCAGAGAAAGCCCGCAGCTTAGCTCTGAGTGTGTTTTGGAGTGATCATCCCCGTAACATCAATTGTTTTAAGAAGGCAAGGCTTGGAAAATCAGAGTGTTCTGGGCATAGCTGAGGCAGCTGGCTTAGACTTCCGCTGGGCAAGATCCTGAGATTTATATGTAGATCCTTGCACCTACTTGGACCATCCATGGGCCTTGTTTCTCAAAGTAAGGAACCTCATGTGGTATGTGAGATAATTTTAGGTGGTACTTGAACACTTAAGAAAAAACTTTAATAGACATATATGTGTCTATTTTATAGATTAGGAGAAGACCACAGTAGGTGTGTAAAGAAACAAGAAGAGTCACTGTGAGGAATATAGACATGGCCACGGTGTTTACAGCAGTTTGGGAATTGCTCTGTTAATGTGTTTGTGCTCATGTCACTTAAAGATACGCAATGAGAGGCATGGTATAAATGCTCTGTGACTTCCAGTTAATAGTACGGTGTCCTTGGGTTTGTAGGATTCTTTACCCATTATTAAAGGATTGTACAATTGGGATTTTCTGCTGGCTTCTGGAGCCATGGTTGATGAGCTAGTGCTGGCTTTTACCAAGATGCCCCAGCCTGTCTTTGCGCCTTTCCCTTTGTGTCTGCGGGGGAGGTCGTCACAGGCCATCTTGTTTTCTTTGGCTGCTGCTCCTCCACTGACCTGTGCAGATGATGCTGTGTGGCATGACCCTTTGTGTTTGCATTACAAGTAAATAGCTCTGGGATTATTCTAGCATTTTAGGACAAATTTGTACACAAAGGATTTAAAAAATCATAAGCATTAATTATGAGTACAATAAAAGATAAAGAAGATAGTTGTTTTCTTGTTTGGAAGAGAACGACATTAGAAAAAGAAATTCTTTTTTAAAATGCAGAAACATTATATGCCATGGAGCTAAAAAATTGTATTACAGCATCAGAACATTCGGCAATTATTCTTCATTTATGTAAAAGTTTTCTTAAACTACGCGTTAAAGGTCTGGCTTTTTAAAAACTAATTTAATTTTTTGCATATCCCATATAGTTTATAAGATGAATCAGGCTGAAGAATAATTGATTATTAAAATTCAAATTCTCCAGGGTTCTTTTATAAATTTCAAGTTTCTCTATAAGAAATTAAATTTATTTTGCAAAATGAACCTGGGTAATATCATTTAGTTGGGGTTTCTGGCAGTCGAGCATAGAACTTTACCAGCTAGATCTTCTTTTTCATTTGGAAGTTGGTTAGGCGAGTTTCCAAGGTTACGACTGACAACCAAATATCTTATCCCTAAAGACTGATAATACTATGAAAAATAATGCTAAAGGCGTTTTTGCATGATTTTTATTTTGTTTTGTTTCCAGACACTCCATTCTTGTCAGCAATATCTTTCTTCTTCTTCTTTTTTTTTTTTGGTAGAAATATTTGACAAATATAACAAGCCTTCAAAAAGCTATTCCCACATATCACTTGCAGAGCAAATTAGTTCCCATAAATTGTATTTTTCATTCAAAGTGTGATGCTGATATCATTACTCAAATGTATAAGCTTTCAAATGTGGCTGCAAGAACAGAAGTGGTCTTGAACCCTCACCCCCTGTGGCTCAGACTGAGCACATGTCTGTGTTCTCCCTCATGTTTCTGGGGGACCTCTGCTTCTCTTCTCATGGAGGCCCAATGGGAGCAGAATGTGGGGTGTCTTGTCTGGCCCATACATGCTTTGGTCCAATTCCTTCCCCAAAGCCTGGAGACCAAGGGGCCTTACAGGGAACTTGCCCCTTGGGCACCTGAGACTGGTGGAGTACAGACAGACCTATCTTCTTTTAAGCTAGGAAATGACAATGTGGTTGGAGTGTGGGTTTCATTATTCAAGGAAGAGAAGGCCATGTGTGTGCTCTGTAGAGCTCCCCCAGGAGGGCAGGGTTCTGATTTAGCTGGTCTGTGAGGGATACCGCAAACATTGCGGGCACCAGTGTGTGTTTGTTAGGTGATTAAAGAAGTTGTCAGCTTGAAGGGTGATAGATGAAGAAAGAAGCAAATTGGGCTGGTCCGATGTCCTCTGTGTTTTTGGGCTCTCTTCGCAGCCATATGGTGTGAATGTTGTTACATCTGTATATACATAAACACACACCTACTCAGAACAGTGCTGTTCTGAAGGAATTGCTTTTTACTCCCAAGGAAACTACATTTCTGCATGGACAAAGTGTATGTCTGTCTGATCGATTTTTCATTCTCGTTGGAACTTGCAGTCATTTGATTCTGATGCTTACACCCTCTAGTGCATGCATGATTAGGAAAACCAAAGATAGCCAACTACACATGTCTTGGGCATTTTAAAATTGAGTTATGCAGGGCAGCTTACATGTTGGGACATGGGTACATGGATTCCTGTTTTCTGACATATATATGCATTTTCCTTTGTGAAGGCTGTACATACGCCAAGCGATGTTAGTAACTCTCTCCTTTATGCAGTCAGAGGGGTTGGTTCGTATCTATCTTCTATCACTTAGCAACTGAGTTGTGAAGTTCTGTTTGTTTATTTCTCCTTCAAGATGGTGAGCTTCTTAAATACAGAGCTATGACATCTTTGCACCATCAGCACCCAGCACAGTGCCAGGCCCAGAGTTGGTACTAAATAAATGTTAGTTGTTGGATGAATGAATCGGTAAAAACTGCAAGAGCCGTATCTTGTAATTATATCTAGACAGGATAAACAGGCCACCGGAGACCAATTATAATTCCTCTTGCTAGCAGGGAGGCCATTAGCATTCTGAGATTATAACTAATTGTCAGAAGCCTATTTTTCTCTCTCAACACGTTTTCACATTAAGGCTTCCTCATTTTTTTGTCATCATTCCTATTTTTAAGCTCATTTTTATTTGTGCATTTATTTAAGAAGAATGTTGTGGTTATGTGCTATAAAGAATACTTGGCTCCAAGAATCTACGTGAAGATCTTCATTCCATACAGGTGGTTCCCAGAGCCATGGGAATATCAGTTCTTGTCACTTGGTGTGCTGGCTTTTAATGATTCTGGATTTGTTTTATACTGTGTAGTAATAAGGTCATGTGGGTGTGGCAGATGGAGGGGGTGGATGGAGATAGTGGGAACGCTTTAGTTGCCTTGTTACCCTGGAGACAGAAGCCTCACATCTTCATTTATCGTAGCTGTCACTTTGTATAACTCTGCTAAGCGGCGTATCAGAAATACATGTGCTCTAAGTTCTGAAGATACAAGCCTTTTCCTTATTTGTGTTATGAGCCAGTTTCCCCTTCGCCTCACCGCAGTTGGTTTTCTTTCCCCTCTTTGCCTGCTTATGCGCAGATTCCAAATAGAATGATGGGTGGGTTACTAACCCTGGACCTCCTTCTACTGTATAACAGCAGTGCTGTGTGTATAGTGAGAATAAAGACTACAGAGACAGGAAGTCCTCTCTCCCTCTGTCCATCCAGCCCCTCCCTTTAACCCCTTCTTGCCTCCATTCCTTCCCTCCCTCACTGCCTTCCATCCTTCTTTCTTCCCTTTTTCTTTTTTTGGGGTAGTGGGAGAATTCTTTTAGATTTTTGTTTTTGGTAACTTTCTGTTTTAATTTCTAACTCGCAGAATAGTAATGTAAACTCCTATGTATCGTTTATGCAGCTTCACTAGTAGTTTATATTTACCTCCATTTGCTTGATCATGTTCTCTCCTTTCCCTGCCCAGATATATACATAGGTACTGTTATGTATATTTTCTGAACTGTTTGAGACTAAGTTGGAGACACTGTGTGCCTTTATATCTAAATACTTCAGTGTATATATCCTAAAAACAAGGATACGTACCATAGTACAATGATCAAAATCAGAAAATTTAACACTGATTCAAGTGCTGGTATCTTATCCATAGCTCATATTCAGATGTTGTCATTAGCCCAGGGTCTAATCTGATATTATTCGTTGCACTAAGTTGTCCATGTCTCTTTGGTTCCATTAATGTCTTTGACAGTCATCCATATCTTGCAGTCTTCTGTTATATCAGTATAACCACTCTGGCATTCTTATGCTAACTGTTTAGTATAGTACTTTTATGTATATTCTTTTACTCTCAACCTATATGTTTTTATATTTAAAGTGCTTCTGTTAGCATATAGTTGGGTCCTGCTTTTATATCCAGTCTGATAGTTTCTGCCTTTTAATTGATGTGTTGAATTTCTTTATATTTAATGTAATTATTGATGTGTTTGGAGTTATTTCTCTATTTGTTTTCCATTTGTCTCATCTGTTTTTGTATTTCTGTTAATTCTTTCCTGCTTTGTTTTGGGCTAATTAAATATTTTTTGTATTGCATTTTAATTCCTCTGTTGAGGATTTTCAGAAAATATGGCACCTTGCAGCAATGTGGTTCCATTCATTTCCATCCTTTGTGCTGTCGTTTCCATATATATTACGTTATAAACCTGGAAACACGGTATTATCCTTTTTGATTTAAAGAGTTATATCTTTTGAAGTAATTAACACAAGAGAAAAAAATAACCTTTATATTCCCATTTTTATCATTTTTGTTGATTACCATTCCTTTTTTTCCTAGACCTGTGTTATCAACTGGTATTCTTTCCCTTAGATCTGAAAAACTTACTTTAGTACTTTTTGTTGTTCAGGTAAGCTGATGATGAAATTTCTCAGTTTTTTTTTAATCTAAAAATGTCTTTATTTTGCTATCATTTTTGAATGATAGTTTTCTGGATATAGAATTGTGGGTTGACAAGCTTTTTGTTTTTTGTTTTCTTCTTTTAGCACTTTAATGATGTCATTTTGTTGTCTTTTGGTCTTCTTTGTTTCTCATGAGAAGTCAACTGTCGTTTATATCATACTCCTATATATAAAGTCACTTTTTGTCTTCGGCTGCTCTTGAAATGTTTCTCTTTGTCTTTGGATTTTAGCAGAGTGAGTATTTATCCTGCTTTGTGTTCGTTGAACTTCTTGGATTTGTGTGTTGATGCCCTTCACCTAATTTGGGAAGTTTTTGGCTATTGTTCTTTAAAACTTTTTTTCTGTGCTATTCTTTTGTTCTCTTTTCAGTCTGTGATTTAGATTACATGATGTTAGGACTCTTGATACTGTCTTACAGATCTTTGAGGCTCTGTTGTTCATTTTTCTTCAATCGTTTTTCTCTTCGGTTTTTAAATTGGATAATTTTTATTAATCTATCTTTAAGTTCATTGACTCTTTTTGACAGCTCCAATCTGCTTTTAGGGCTATCTCATAAATTTTTTATTTCAATTATATTTTTTCAGATCTAGAATTTCCATTTTGATCTTTCATAGAATCTTTCCAGTTTACATATCTCTGATATATAGTCTATCTCCTCTTCTTTATGTATATGTTTTCCTTTTATTCCTTAAATATATTTATACCAGCTCCTTTGAAGTCCTTGTCTGGTAGTTGCAACATTTGGATCATCTTGGTGTTGATTTCACATTGACTGCTTGTATTATGGGTCACTTTTTTCCTGTTAACATAAGTAGTGATTTTTGGTTAGACACTGGACATTATAAATGATATATTTTAGAGACTCTGGATTTTGTTACATTTCTCTAAAGTAGATTTTTCCCTAGTAGGTAGTTACGTTGATTGATTTCCAACTCCAAACTGTCTCCCTTGTGGTGAGCATCAGCTGAAATATTTGCTCATTTTGTTTAATTTCTGACTGCTGCTTTTTTGTAGGTCCTCTGGGATCTCTTCCACACATATATAATTAATCAGCCAAAGATTTAAGCAATTTTATGCATAGATTTTGGACCTTACTTGCAAATCTCTCTTATTACAGTTCATCTTTTCAGGGTAGCCTACCCTCCAGTTCCTGCCTTTTGGTCATTTTTCACTGCTTTTAAAATGGTTGTTTTTTGTTTTGTCACGATTCTGTAATTGTTACTTATAGAAGGGTTAGTCTGACTAAGCTACTGTGCTATTGCTAGAAATCTTAGTTCTTTTTTATAGTTTTCATTTCTTTGATGAGATAACGCAATCTGTTCATTCATTATGATGCTATTTTCCTTTTAGTCCTTGAGCATATTTATAATAGCTGCTTTAAATTCCTTTTAAAGTCTACTAATTCCAATATCTAGATTTTTCTGTGGGTTTGTTTCTATTGACTGATATTTTTCTTATGTATAGGTCACATTTTCCTATTTCTTTTCATATCTATGGATTTTTTTTTGTTTTCTGTTGTGTCTTGTTGATAAAACATTGTAGAAGCTCTGGATTTTGTTATTTTCCTGTGACTAGTGCTGACTTTGTTCTAGAAATCAGTTCAGATTCTGTTTCCCCTGTAGTAGGCAGCACCTGAAACAGCTCAGTTCTTTCATCCTTCAGTTACTGCTTTTCTCTGTGAACCTCACCATCTCCCCTATGCATGCAAAGTTCAGAGATCTGCCGAATATTAGGGTAGGAGTTAATCACAGATTTCGGGGGCTTGCCTTTCTTTGGCTCCCTCCTTTCCTTCCTAGGATTTTCACCCCCACTTTCCAGCTGCCCTGGCAGCCCCAATCTCTGTTCTCTGACTTCTGTAGCCAATAAAACTGTAGCTTTTGCTTGAAGTCTAGCTACCCTGCATACCCATGCAGAATGGGAAGAAGTGCTTTCAGGCAAAAAGCTGCATAAATGCAAATTTTACCCAGTGTGGTTTTTTTCTTTCAAGGGTCTGCTCTGCTTTAGTTGCTGCCAGGGTTTGATTATTTCCTGGTGCTTACAAATCATTTTATGTACCTTGACTTTCTATTACAATATATTTCCCCTCACCACTATTTGTTTTTTGTCACATTACTTACCTCTTTCTGTGTTTCCTCATCTGGAAAAATGGGGATAAATAATACCCATGCTAGAGGGCTCTTGGGAAGGTAAAATGAGTCAATGTACAGAAATTTTGTTTATGTATTGAGCACAAGGTGGGTACTTGGCAAATGGTAACTCTTGAGCTTCAGAAAACCCTTATCTGAGTCAAACCGGGCCAGTATTTGACCTTCTGTTTGTCACAGAACTTGACAACACTCAAAAGAAAGTATACTTAATTTTTCCTTCCTGGATATTTTGGCAATATTTTGAATGTTGGTTTTTGGAACATGTCTTGTTATTGGTACATGTGACTTATATGCTTTGGTATTTCAAGTGATTCTGAGTGTCTTGTTCTTCATAGATCATCTGCAAAATGGCTTCAATGCTGAGTAAGGGCACAGTTGAACGCCTGCTGCTCCCTCGGTTCTGTGAACTATGCGGCGATGGGAAGCCCTTTCAAGTTCGGAAGGTGGGAGCATAAAAGTTTCAAAACTCCTTAAGTTAAAAAATTCCAAATCAATTTCTCTGTAAAGTTTCCGGACTTCTTTAGTAGACGTAGCCTGTAGGAAAAAATGTGGCTAGTGTAAAGTGTGTAAGAAAAATATCTGAGCAGTGTTGCCAGTTTTTAATGCAATTAGGAAATGCATAGAGACCTAGAGATAAGATTCTGTGTGAGTAAACCTGTTGGCTCAGGCACAGGACGGGAGTCTTGAGACCTTGCTGGCTTGTGGTTACATGCTGTTACCCAGGCATGCAAGCTCTTTGATGAGCTGGGGCGATTTGTTCCAGAGCTCTCTTATCTTTGCTGTACCTTCCAACGCCAACCCCAGCTTCCCTTTTAGTTCCTTGTCGCTGGCTGTCAAGTTCTTCCTTTTGAAGAAATTCTTCCTTTTGCCATCACTCCCTGAACGCCTTGCTGCGTAACTGGCCATCGCCCCTCTGGTCTCTCGTCAGGTTGCATAGGCAAGACACAGTAGGTCTGGTTTACCGTGCAGAGAACATTAAGGGTCTGTTTTGCCCTATTGCTAACCAAATGCATTATGTATCAAAATCAATTAGGAGCCAGAAAAATCTTAGAATTTTAGTACCTTATTGTAAATCCTGCGTTTTTGATGCAGTGGCGGCACCGAGCACAGCTCTGTGTGGGCGATGGGCTGGGTGAGGGCTTATTAGCTGCCTGACTAGAGGGATGATTGCTCGCAGGGCGCCTGCTTGTTAGCTTTTCCAATTTGTTAAGACAAAAAGAAAGATAATAATAGGTATGCCTTTTGCCTTTTAAAGGTGTGCGCTACAAATTTTGGTGATGTTTGTCATGCTGTTGGACAAGATGCCACTGAGAAATTTTTGGTATGTGAATTTTGTCACTTATAACTGCTGATTCACTTCACAGTGCACTTTCAAAATCAGTTGTTAAGTTTTGTATTTATGAGTCCGTTACTTTGGAATGGCAGCTCAGTTTTGCATTCATCAGTTCAACTTTCTTGACTTCCGAAGTTAACATTTTCCTGAGTATTAGGCAGCTGGTCTGTGGGATGAGCTGGAAGCAGCCCCCGTCCTCTTTCCTATGGACTTTGTTGTCATCTCCTCACAGGTCACTTTCCCCCAGTTTCTTCTCACTGTCCGAGCCACCGTCTCTACCCGCTCTCCACTGTTCTGTACGGAGCACCACTTGACCACCTCACTCCTGGGCCTCAAACCATTGGGATGTTTTTCTTCGTTTGCAGGTTAAAATCTGGAGCCTCAGTGGCCTTCCTGGGCCCTCACAGGTGCCTTTCCTGCCTCCCCTCCAGTCACTGTCCTTAGTTCTGAGTGCCACCCTGGCCCTCTGTGGGCCCCAACTGAATCCTGTGGCGGGCCAGGCATTATATTCATAAAATATGTTTAAATTTGCAACTGTATTTTTGATAAATTCCCACACGATTCTGATGCGCAGCAGGGTAGAAAACAGCTTCACCAGCCAGCCAGGTGACCTTTCACCTTCCACGAGGCTTCCTGCTCTTTCACACCTCTGGGCCTCTACTCATGACTGTCCCTGTCCTGAGGGTGTCTTCCCTACCTGGTGGGACCCTACTCACACTTCACTCCAGCTTGAACACGGCTCTGTGAAGTTCTTTCCTTGTCTAGACTTGCCTACCCCCTGTGCCAGAGTGAAGGGCTGTCTCCCCTTCCAGCTCTCCAGGGACGTTTTGTCCAGACTGCCTCAGTGCAGCTTTGCCAATAGGGAGCTTCTCACAGACAGGGACCGCATCATGCCTGTCTTTGTTCCCCAGTGTCTGCCCAGTAGCTGGCACTCAGACTGCCATGTTCAATGAGCATTTGTCACTTTTGACAGAATATACTATGATACCTGTGTGGTTGGAACTTAACCTCAAAACATGTAATGTTTAAATTGATTTTTAAATTTAAGTTCAGAGCTCATTTTATTTTATTTAAAGTACAAGCCATGTCAACATAGTTCTAACTCAAGAATAATTTTTAATGGGCTCTTGCTTTGAATATACAGTGAGTATTATCTTCTACTTAATATTGTTATCTGAATGAAGAGCAACAGTGACCAACATACTAATCTTTCTGTAGGTAGATGTTTCCACGATCATATCATATTTCCATTTGTAAAACATTTTATGCTAATTATTTTACATTAGGATATTAAAAACAAAGCCTTTTAAAAGGATAAATTTTCAAAGAAGATGTAATCATGATTGATACAGATATTAAATGAACATGTGTCAAAGATTTTATTTAACTCATTTATTAATGAGGGAAACCAGTAAGATATTATAGCCAGTTTAATGGAGAACACAAAGCATTACACATTGATAAACCAAGGAATACTAAGGTGAATTTACACATGGATTCAAAACTGGTCAATTGCATTCCACTGGACACAGTTTGCATTTCTGTGGAAGAAATTATTTGCAATACTATCAGTTTTTAACAACTTACTTTCTATCACTAGAGTTGTAAAATACTCTAGTCAAAGATATGGTTATCTGGATGGGTGAATTAGTTGGGAAATCTGCCAATTTCAAAGTCTTTCACAATCTTTCTCTGTACTTCACACAATGAATACCAGTCATTCTCCCTTTTTTGAGGTTTTCTTTTTTTTTTTTTTTTTTGAGACAGAGTCTCACTGTGTTGCCCAGGCTATAGTGCCGTGGCATCAGCCTAGCTCACAGCAACCTCAAACTCCTGGACTCAAGCGATCCTCCTGCCTCAGCCTCCCGAGTAGCTGGGACTACAGGCATGCGCCACCATGCCCGGCTAATTTTTTCTATATATTTTTAGTTGTCTGATTAATTTCTTTCTGTTTTTAGTAGAAACGGGGTCTCGCTCTTGCTCAGGCTGGTTTCGAACTCTTGAGCTCAAACAATCCGCCCACCTGGGCCTCCCAGAGAGCTAGGATTACAGGCGTGAGCCACCGTGCCCGGCCGGTTTTCTTTATTATTTTTTTTTTTTTTTTGAGATAGAGTCTCACTCTTTTGCCTGGGCTAGAGTGAGTGCCGTGGCGCCAGCCTAGCTCACAGCAACCTCAAACTCCTGGGCTCAAGCAATCCTTCTGCCTCAGCCTCCTGAGTAGCTGGGACTACAGGCATGCGCCACCATGCCCGGCTAATTTTTTCTATATATTTTTAGCTGTTGATTAATTTCTTTCTATTTTTAGTAGAGATGGGGTCTCGCTCTTGCTCAGGCTGGTCTCGAACTCCTGAGCTCAAACAATCCACCCGCCTCAGCCTCCCAGAGTGCTAGGATTACAGGCGTGAGCCACCGCGGCAGGCCGAGGTTTTCTTTATTATCTGTTAAATTTCACCAAGTCATTTACTAAAATTAGGTGGTAAAGGAAATGTTTCTTTCTTCTACTTACAGTTTGTGTTTCAAATGATTCCTTTCAGACCAATGTGTATTTCCCTTTTCTTTGTCATTCATTTCTGGCTATGCCTTCACTACATTATTAAAACAGCTTCTTCCCTTTCTCAGTGTACTCAGATTTGAGTGACACTATTTTATTGTTTTGGTAGATCCCGAAGTTTTTTGAGCTCTGCTCAGATAACGTTTGGGGGATGCGGAAAGCCTGCGCTGAATGCTTCATGGCGGTGTCGTACAGCACCTCCCCCGCAGTCCGCAGAACCACGCTCTCACCTCTCTTCATCAGACTTGTCAGCGACCCCTGTCGATGGGTGAGTGCCATAAGCACTGTCAGTGGTGACATTGGCCTCTGTCCTGTCGAACTGTCTGTGGAGCTGTCCAGCCATGCCGGGCCTCCAGGTCTCGTCGTGGGTTGGACCTGGAACTGTGTATTTTGTCCTTTCAGTTCACTGATCAGCATGATCAGATTTAGACCTTGTGAGGTACAAGTTAGAACAACTAAAAGCTCAGAAGCTTTGGGTGAATATTAAGAAAGTGGCACAGGCTCAACATTTATATTGACTGTCACAGAAGGAAGTGGTATAGCTGAACTGTTAACCTTTTCCGTATTATCATAAACATGCCTGTAGCAACTAACAGGGTCTGTCCCACTACTTTATAAAGTCTGATATTATTCATTATGAAATTAATATTCTGCAAAAATAAGAACTACATTACAGGGCTAAATTTTTCCTTATTTTCTGTAGAAACATAGTTTATTTGGAATTTAGGGAATGATTTAGAAAGTAGTAAATCTGCTACTAGACATGATGTTTTGACAGTGCCTTGTTTGGTGGGCGCGCCTGTTTCAGCCTGGGATCCGAGCCGGCCACCGCAGGCTGACACTGTGTTCACTGTGCTCTTCTGTCTGGTTGCAGGTGCGCCAGGCTGCCTTCCAGTCCCTTGGCCCCTTCATTTCCACGTTTGCAAACCCCTCCAGGGCTGGCGTTTATGTTCGAGAGGATGGCACCCTGAGCATCCGACCACCAGCCCAGGATCTGGACTCCGAGTTTGCCTCTGGCTCACCCATTCCCAGTAGCGGTGGTGACACGTCCTTAGCCAGGTATGCTCCCGCAGGATCAGTACCAGGACCTCTGCTTCACCTCAAGCAGCCACCTAAAATTCTAGCAATTATCTCATCTAGTTTTAGTAACAGTGACCTTCTGGGCAAGATGGAATATTAGAGCTTTAATTATGTAAAGAAGCAAAAAGTAATTGCAATAATGATTTTGAAACATGACTACTGTGTTATAAATAATGAAGCTACTGTGTCTCCTAAATTTAGATAAAATATTCATTGAGAGTAGTGATTAAATAACCTATAAAGAAAATTTTCTTCACTTTTTGATTAATGAAGTTCTTCGGGTAATTTACATAGGGAAAAATGTGATGTCTCTTAGATGTACTTTTGTGACCTAGGGTGTTGCACATAAAGGTGACATTTCTGACCAACATTAGTAGGCCTTACACTGTTTTTCTAGTGTGGTGATTGATCTTGGCTTTTTATGTCTTTCCTCTGAGGATGATGGGTATGTACTAAGGCAACTATTTCAGGTGGTTCCTAACCATCTCTCCATTGTTAATGTTATGCAGGAGTGTGAGAGTGGGAAATTGACACCTCACATGATAACAGATCCTTTTAAAGATTGGCCCATCCTTCCTCCTTCCTTCTGCCATGGAAGTTCATGAGCTCCTGCCGTATGTCAGGCCTCTGGCCCACGTCAATGTCTTCCTCATGAAGACCTTCAGAGGAGTTAGCAAGTAGCCAGCTCTCCCAGGCTCAGCCCTTCAGTTCCTGAGCCTGCCCTGGCAGGGGTGCTAGCAAGCAGCGCGGGGACGAAGTCATGCCCCTGAAGCCAGGGCTCGGAATACAGTGGAAGCGGAGTGCTGAACTTCCACATGGTGGTTTCAGTGCACATCATACTCCCAGTGGGGCAGTGAGGGCTGATTGAACCTCTTATCCTCTTGCGAGGTTTTAATCTTCTGACAGCAGGAGACACGAGGGTGGCAGGTAGCCAGCTAGAGGAGAGGACTGGCCTTGCAAGGATGTGGGTCTCGTGTTTTTCCCTGTTACTTTCAGTCTAATTACATGGTGCTAAAAGTTTGCTTCCCTCAATTTAACCTAGTTCAACAAAGCCTTTGCAGTTGGAGCCAGATCTACCCATGGAAGGGACATCAACAGAAACCAGTGGTTTCCTGCATATCACAAGCTCCTCGAAGGGCCTAATGGAAAACCCAGTGGAAGGTTCTGCTTTGGTTGGGGCTGAGTCGTCCAGGCCTTCCTCGGAGGCCAGTGCCTTCTCTGAGCTCCCTGATGTTAATGCCCTCCCCATCAGCCGCCACCCTGGACCAGATTCCTGGGCCTTCCCAGGGAGCTCTGAGGATATGTTCAGTAATTTCCTTTATTGGCGAACTCCTCTCCCTGACATAAGCACGGACTTAGAGCTACTTCTGAGCGAGGCTGGGCTGCAGGAAGAAGACTACAGCAGACCTGAGACTGTGTATAACAGCTGTGTGGCCAGGAGTGAGATTCAAAAAGTCCTCGATAGTTTGCAGGAACATATGATGAATGATCCAGATGTTCAAGGTAAATGTTGTCCATTGTAATTGAAGAGAAAATGGGATATTTCTGTGTTGTGCATTGCATGTCACCACTTCCTTCTTCCTCAGGCCTGTCTACTGATGCGTGTACGTACCTGTATTTGTTTACACTGTGCACACACTTGTCCAATCTCACTATATCTAGAACAGCCAGAGATATCTCCATGCAAGAGTTTTGCCTCCTTGTTTTGCAGATAGACATGCCCACAGTCTGAAGTCAGTTCTGATAGGAAAGTGGCTCGTTCTTGGGCATATCTGTAACAGTGGAAATTTTATTAGCTCCTTAGACACGATTACATCATTTCCCACGTATAATGCCCTTTTTGGTTATGAAAAGCTAAGGATGCTCCTTTCGGAGCCTATTAACTGAGCCCTCAGCTAAACTTTAAGATTTTGGTCTTTGTACAGCAAGGAAAAATACAGCTTCTTCTTTGGGGTATTTCTCATTTTGTGACTAGTGCTCCCACTGAGCGCCTGACCTGGGAGCCAGGCCTGCAATCCACACCCATTGTCACGACTCTTCTTTCTCTAAACAGTGCAGTATTTGTATTCTTCCTTGAGTTGGGGAAATTGGAAAGAACAACACTTGCTGCTGTTTCTGGGCAGAGATTTGTGAAGCTTTCGGGAAGGGAAATGTGAAAATCTAGTTAGCCCTGTGATTATTCTTTGTCCTTAAGTTTATGAAGGAAATTAAATCAATGTTTGCTGAAGGAATGGGTACACGTAACATACCACTTCTAACAGCTATAGAAAAAGGTCTGTTTTTGGAAAACACATTGCTAAAGCTGCCTTAATCCCCAATGCCAGGGCCTGGGCTGGGGGCTGGGGGAGCAATGACTGGAGCAAGAGGCCTTAGTGGTCTGGTTGAGGGGACTGTGCAGGCAGCCACTGTGTGGGTGTGGGAGGGCTGGGAGAGGAAGGGACTCACTGTGCGGAGGAAACGTCTGGGAGAAGACCTTGAAGAGCAGGTCGTATTTGCCCCGGGCTTTAGAGGGTGCCTGGGAACCCACCGTCCCGAGAAGTCAGAGGATATGTTTCAGAGGGTTCTTTCAGCTCCCTGGAATCATTGTGTGTAAAATCTTGTATGTATGTGAATACTTAATTTCTATGTAAGAAAGGGCCCACAGCTTTCTTCAGAGCTCAGAGAGATTCTATTATCCCAAAAGATTCGGAAATAAATGACATGACATGTTTTATTTGTGAACCGGCTGTGGCAGGAATGTTCTTAAGCCATTGGGAAAGGCCTGGTGCGCTGCACTGAGGAGAGGTGGGACCCGCCCTCGGCACAGGAGGAGCCAGCAACAAGCTCTGAACATTGTACTGAATGTTGGGGTCCATTGAATTTAATAAGTAGAAAACAGGATACAGGAAGTAATGCATGTGTGCATGCACGTGTGTGTGTGTTTTGGGAAATTGGGGGACATAAAAATATCCAGTTTATTTTTACAGAAAGATATGCAAAATGTGTAGTCTTTACTGTTTGGAAGGTCTCAAATAGTCATACTGTGGACAGAAAAAATGGGTAGTCCTTGGGGCTTGGTGAGTGAGATCATTGCTCATCTGTGTGTAAAAGATTTATTCATGCATGGGCATGCCAGTGTGCACGTGTGTGTGTGTGTGTGTGTGTGTGTTTGTGTGTGCGTATGGCAGAGAAGGCAGCTAGCTGCTTTCTATATCGGGGAGCAGGACACCTTCACCGAGGCAGTGGACCTCCCAGACATCATCGTTCATTAACATCATGTTGTCTGTCTGTGAAAGATGGTGGAGTCAAACTCTGATTTTTCCTAATTGAGGCTTTTCAAGTTCAGATTTGATGTTCTGTGCATGGCTGGCGTTTAGTTGAAATAGTTACTGTTAATGGCTGTAAACATCACCACCTTGCTGAGAGCTTGTTTTGAGACTCCAGAACACTGTCACTTGCAGCCCTCAGCTTCAGAGCAGATACGGGGTGTGTGTAGTGTACCTACGTCATACAGCCTGGAGCAGATGGTGTTGTTTTGAAGACTTCTCTGAAGTAAATCCCCACAAACCAAATAAAGTTATTAAAATTCTTGAAACTTCTTTTCCTGCAGCTCAGGTTCAGGTGTTATCGGCTGCACTGAGAGCTGCGCAGCTTGACTCCGCGAGTGGACCCAAGAGCACGCCGACAGAAGGGCTCAATGCAGTGTCCATTTCCGGTCCCAGCGCTGCCTCTGACAGTCAGCCCGCTCTGTCGGCTTCATCATCGCAGAATGAGCACTCCATGGCCAGGATATTACAAAGCACAGTAAGTATTTGCCCTGTCCCTCAGCCACCGAGGATGTGACAGAAATCACAAAGCTGCATTTTCTTTTATTAATATATCCCGGCAGAGATGATAAATGGCAAATTTCATTTTATTCTTAAGGTCATGTTTTAGATAACTAGACAACCAATCAATCAGATGATTGATAATGCTGACTCTCTTCCACAAAAACAGGGTGGGGACCAAAAAAGTACCTTCTCTCTTCTCTAACAATGACAAGAACTTACTCTGGGGTGGAGTGGCGGGGAGTTAACCACAGAGACGCTCTGTTTCACTGCTAACAGATGTTTACATCTTTTAATGATAGTGGAAGGCGAATTCATGCAATTCCTAGAATTTAAAGTCGACAGGGCCTTAGCGATGATCATCGCATCTGGCCACTCGTTTCGTAGGAGCGTTAATACCTGGTTGCTCCGGGAGTGGCGCTGGCCTGCTGATCGCAGAGGAGAGGTTTTGGAAAACCAGCAGTGCCCACTGTTCATGCACAGTCTGGAACCAGCCCCTGTGAGGCCCGAAGCTGGGTGCGGAGGGACCCATGCCTTGTTCCTTACTTGGAGTCTCTCCAGAAGCTTCCTTACCCTCTTGTGTCTGGAGTCCCCTGTGCTTTGTTAATTTCTACGGAGCTTCCACTTAGATGAGTTTCAGCTGGGATCTTTCACAGTTGGGGTAAGAATAGAGAATAAAGAGTAGAGAGGGGCCTGTGATCCTGCAGTCATTGGTATTTCAGCACCTCTCATTACCATGCGCACGATGGGTAATCTCTTCAAACTCGTGGTCTCAGGGCCAGAATTGTTTCTCTATTGACGTGGTCTATAATTTGATATTAGTGATTAAATTAATGTATCCCCTCATTCACCCCCTAGGCCTGCTCTAATAAAGCGAAATAAAACAACAAATTTTAAAAACTTGAATATAAAATGTTCAAGAGTTGGTTAAGGTTATCTATGATTAATAAGAAATGAGATAATATTCTCTTTTGCCGGTTTGTTTCTAAAAAATTGGCAAGAAAACTCATGTTACCCTTTTTACCTGGAGTGCAAAAATCACGTGTGTTAGGTAGAAAGATATGGCCACATTTACCTTGGTGGGGATGTGATAGTGTTTGGGCTTCTTCATCATAGGCAGAAGTGAAAAAAGAAACAAAAACAGATTCCTCCAAGTTGAGTCTCTTCCGTTGTGGGTGTGGAGGGGCTTATATAATTGGGCCCTTGTTTTATGGCTGTGGTTGTCAGAGCTTTTGAATTTGCAGTTTGTCGCCAAGGTTCTAGTGGGATAGGTCAGGTTCCGTCCGGTTGCAAAAGAAGGAAAAGGAAACAGAAAACTCACAAGTGCTTGAACAATGAGGAAAATGTCCTCCTACACAAATGATAGGAAGAGGGGCTGAGGCTGGGGGGCTCCAGGGCTGGGGCTGCTTACCTGGGTGCTCACCCCCCTGCCCTCCACTCTGCTGTGGTGGCCCCATCAATGTGTGACGCCCAGGGGAAGGATGGGCCTGTGTCTTCCCACCTGTCTCTCTTGAAGAGCAAGGAAACCCTGGGCCAGAGACCCACCTGTTGCCCTCTCCCTCGGCCTCCCTCCACTGGCCACAGTTGTGTTGTGCGTTCTCGGGTTTAGCATGCTGGGCTGGGTAGAAAACAAGGGAATTGTCGCAGCGGTTGGGTTCACTAGAAAGGAGGCTGCAGGGCCGTGAGTGAGGGTGCACAGGTCGCCAGTGTGCTGCCCTGCTCAAGGGTGTTTTGGAGAAGTGAACTCACAGAATCTTTTGGGGTTGCCTTGACTTGGCTTCTGGAGTAAGTGCTGTACATAACACCTGCACTGAAGACTGTGGGATAGAATTAATTCCTCAAAGGATAAGAAGGATTCCGGTGGTGCAAGGAGAATTTCAGGTCTTAGGTTATCATATCAAAATATTTCTGTTTTACCATGTCCTGTGTTAAAATAAAAGTCTACTTCAGTGAAAACCTTGGGAATTGAAGGTTCTGGTAGCATGCCTCAAAGCAAATGAAGCATCTATCGGTATATTAATCGACTTTCCCAGATCATATATTGAGCTGATTTGTCAGAATCCATTAAGCTGGTAGACAGTATGACATTTCAAGTGCAAGTTGGAAATCCGTGTTATGGTTGAAGGAGAAGGTCAGGTCCATCTCAGTTAATGTTAATCAATGATCAGAGACCAATATGTCACTGTTGAATGTTCTTGCTCATTTTAATTGTTAAGCTAATGTAAAAGTTCATCAGTAAACATTAGGAGTATTTGCACATGTGAAAACTGAGAACAGTTTTCCAAGTAAATACTCCTTTATCAGCCACATCTTTTCCCTCAAGTTCACTGGGCCCCCACGTCCCATTCTCTCTCTGAGGTCTACCAGTGCCACAATCTCTGATTCTCAAGAAATGCTGGAGCTGCTGGCTCTGCCATTTCTTGCAAACCTCATCCTTCCTTCTGGAGTGGTCTGTGCCTTAAACGTGTGAATGTTGGAGGGCATTGGTTAGCCATACGAGGGAGACCCCAGGGCTTAAAGGGTAGTAGATGCAGACTCACATCGTTGGTACTCACGAACTTTAACTTCAGACCTTGTCTTTTTTATAAGGACCTCAAGCAATCTTGAAATGAAAATGTATGAAGTCAATTTTCCTTAGCACTTAAAATAACTGGTCTATACAATGTTGTATGTAACCGTGCAAATGCAGTTTTCAGCATCTGGAAAAATATCATTGAGTTGAAGGAAAGCTTTTGTCTTGGCTTGCACAAGAAGTCATTTCTGGCATTGAAAAAGGATATTTTGAAGGGGAAGTGGTTGGACAGATTCTTCCTTTGGAGCAAATTGGTAACATGTCCAATGAACTCTGCAGGATCCAGGAGAACCCCCAGATGGAACCAGTGACCATTTGGAGACTGGCCAGAGGCATAATCCCATCCTACTCGAGGAGAATAAATCTAAATTACAGGTTTGTTCCTTGGGGGGAAAAAAGCAGCTCAAAACTTTATATTTTCTGAAAGTTAACTTTAAAAATGGCCATTGGAACCAAATATTTTTCTTCTATCAATGCTAATTACATATCTTAGTTCATATTCTGTGTTGCTAATAGCTCCTCTCCAACTTAAAAAAATAAACTCTAAAATTGTGTTTAAAGTCTTCTGAACAATCTAGAATAGTATTTCAATAAAGCAAACCAATAAGGAAAAATTTTGATGCCTAACATTTAGTGTCTGTTTACAAGTTGTTTTGCTCTTTTTGTTTGAAAAGTTTTTGACAGCAGCTCCTTTTGTTGAACCATGTTTGATTTTATTCTATCTTGTGGATTGGCTTCTTGTGCCATGTAAGTTCCCTTCAATGTTTTCAGTGATTGGGGCCCATTGCTCTTATAGAGATAAACAGAAACGGGGTGATGTCTTAGGAAAACAATATCCCATCAGTTGGAAAAATGCAGTCATGATTTTCAGAGTGTAAAGGTCTCAGGCCTCAGGTTCTTGGGGCATTTGTAAGAGAAGAGATGATCGTCTCCGTTCTCAAGAGCTGAGGGTACCACACTAAGCAGACATTGCTGTCTAGACTGTTCACTCTGATATCAAATGTTGTACCAATCTAAAAAAGATGAGTTGTGGGCATTGTTTTAACTTCAGTCAAAATTGAAAACCCACTCCCTGGTGAAAACAAGGTTGCCAATCTGAAGCCCTTTGGCTTTAGAAAAGCCTTTTGTTCCTCTCGAATTTCTGCTTTGTTGTTTTCATCCTCAGATTCTAAACTCTTTGTTTCTCCTGAGTATTCTCCTTTCTTTGATTTCTTTTCTCCTGCAAGCATGATGGCTTCTTTTCTCTCCTGTTTCCCAGGATATAATCCCTCAGCCTCTGCTGGATCAGTACGTGTCGATGACTGACCCAGCTCGAGCCCAGACTGTCGATACCGACATAGCCAAGCACTGTGCCTACAGCCTCCCAGGGGTGGCACTGACCCTAGGCAGGCAAAATTGGCACTGCCTGAAAGATACATACGAAACACTGGCTTCTGATGTACAGGTAAAAGCAGCCTTTTCAGAGGCATGCACAGAAATAGGGTGGGTTGTCTGAGTAGGAAGAAAAGGGAAGCTGCAGCAAGGCTCATTGACCTGCAGTCTGTGTGGATGCAAGTTGGCATATTTACTGGTCTCTGATAAAATGATGCTTTGAATGGCCAACACCTGGCAGTGTTCGTGTTGCTCCAGAAATGCCACCCGAGATACTGAGAACAGTGACTTCCCCTTGCTTGTTGTGATTGTGTGTCTGCTGTGCACCCCTAGTGGACAGTACGTCGGACCCTGGCCTTCTCTATCCATGAGCTGGCTGTAATCCTTGGGGATCAGTTGACGGCAGCTGACCTGGTGCCCATCTTCAATGAGTTTTTAAAGGACCTGGATGAAGTACGCATAGGAGTTCTTAAACACCTGTATGATTTTCTAAAGGTAGGAAAAAGGGTTAAAAGCAAAAAACAAACCTCCCCTCTCCAAATCAGTCCTGTTAAACCCTGGATATGTGTGGTGTCAGTGTAAAAAAACAATGCAGCTGTTTTGCTGTCTTCAGCTGAAATGTACTGTCCAGAATCTTCCAGTGAGTATTCTTTCAGTGATGGGTTAAATATTTTTTATACATTTCCTCCTAATGTTCCTGTCCTTTCGAGTTGTAATTCTGTGGAGGATGGTAGACACACAGCCTAGCACATTCTGTGCAGAAGAGACTGAGCCCCTGGGTAGTGACCTGACTTGTCCAGAAGTCACCCAGGGGAAGAGCCTGGGCCGAAGTCCAACCTTAGCTCTACATGAAGGGCTTTTTCTGCAACACGTTCCTGCTTCCCTTTTTGCTTCCTCCCCCCACCCAAAGGACTGATGGATGTAAAAAAAAGAGTTTAAAAATGACCTAGAGGAGCTAATTACACTCACCCACACGACCAAGAGCTGCCCTTGTTGGGCTTTGGTGCACGATGCACCGGTGTCGATTTTCCTGTCCTGGGGCAGAGGTGCAGGCTCCGCTCTCTGGGAAGCAGCCCTGGCGCTTTGGCATCTGAACACACATAGACTGGGGTTTTTAGGTGGGAAATTACGAAAGGAGGAAGACCTGGGGGCATTTAGAAGAACATAAGCACGTGTACCAGCTGCAGGGAAAGGCTGGCAGCATTCAGGGATGCATTCGATGTCAGTGAACAGCCATGTTAATTCACAGCCACGCTGGGTCCTAGACTAGGTAGTATTGGGGAAACACAGAGTTCTTGCTGGTAAGAAATGTATAATCTGAAGTATAATAAAAGGGAGTATTTTGGGGTCATTTTGAAGGCTTATATATTTGTATTTATATTTACCTATATACATTTTTAAAAAATAGTTGCTTCATGAAGATAAGAGGAGAGAATATCTTTACCAGCTTCAAGAATTTGTAGTGACCGGTAACAGCAGGAACTGGAGGTTTCGGTATGAACTAGCGGAGTAAGTAAACACCTTTCTGGAGATATGAGAAGGCAAATTAGATAGAATAATTCTCAATTTTCCTACCTTATAAGTGATTTCTAAACCAGCAGTAATAATGTTCTTTTGGATAAAGAGATTATGTTTTTATTAAAGTATAAACTGAATTTCAGAGCCCTAAGTTACAAATACCACAGTCTCCGGGGAGACATTCATTTTCAGATGAAGACAGGGCTAGAGTCACTTTGGAATTAGAGTGTTCTGCTGTTCTATAAGGCAATTTATTCGAACCAAATAAAAGATGAATCACCCACTCTTCAATATTTTCCTATTAATCAGAGCAGTTTTTGCCATAGCTTTCTTGAACATTCTGAGTGTTGTCCTCTGTAGGGTACAGCATACTTTATGTACTTCAGCCTCTAGAGAAAATCAGGCTACCACGAGGGATATGAAAGGACCTAACCCAGATGAGACGATTATGAAATTAAAATGTCCCCCAACGTGGCTCATATCTGTACATCATTTTGTATGTGAAGGAGTTAATTCCATCTTGTGCCGGCAAAAGGAATGTTCCAGGTTTTAGTGATTATGAAAGAGTGAAAGCATTGCTTTCAATAACTCCCCTTCCAGAGATACATAATATGCTTTTTGTGGTATTGAGAAAATTTGTTTGGGGTTGTTGTTTTTTAGTTTTCACCTTGTTGATATTCATTTCGGTATCTTTACTTTCCATTTTTCTTATCCACAAGTAGTATAGAAATCTCTTAAATAATTGTCTGCCCTGAAGAAATCCATCAGGGTTTTTTTTGCAGCTATTCGGGATATGATTCAGCTGATGCCAGGGGCAAACTGAAAGATTTTCTCTTTGCTGTGATCTTTAATCATTATGCTTGATTTGAGAGATGGAGGTTTTAGTCATTATTCCGTGTTCCCAGCGTCCTGGTCTGAAGCACCGAGAAAAACAGGCCCATGTTTTCCACGAAGGCATTGCGACCTCTAGCGGCCGCGCGCGGGCGTGCGGCTGGCGGCCGAGCCGGCTGACCCGCTTCCCGGGGAGACAGACCGGGCTCCGCGATCCGTATCTCCTCGCTCGCTATCTCCCATCTCCCCGCGCTTATTGAAGCCCGGGCTGCCGATATGAATTCTGTGCTCCCGTGCCCATGATATTGGTATCGTTTTTCTGAAAAGAGTGCTTTTTGATATGAAGGTATTCACCGGCACTCCTGGCTCCTGGCTCTAACTTCCTCCCCATCTCTTTTTCATTTCCTTTAGTTGCTTGGGTGAAAATAATGCCGTTTATTTTCATACCCTTCTCCCCCAGCCCCATTTAAAAAATAGTGAAAGCGTTGGGAGTAGGTTTTCTCGAGCAGCCATCTCACGATTTTTTTTTTTTTGTCTGTTGGAGTAAAGAGCAAACGCTCCCCGTTCTCTCCAAGCGGACCTCGCTGGATTGAAACCGCCTCCGTGGTTCAGTGCCGAGCCGGCAGGCAGAGCATCAGATTTAATTTGCAGTTGCGGGAACGCCGAGGCGGCAGTGAAATCTCATTTGAGTGTTCCCTTGATCTGTTGATCTTTGGGAACTTCAACATTCTGGCTATTTTTATGTTATCTGATTTTTAAAGTTTTATGTGCTTTTCAACTGATAACCCAAAATTGAAATATTAAATCTGTATTCATAAATTTCTCAGCCTCTGTTTTACAGAGTTTAATTTATTTCCTTTTTGTTTGATTTGTGTATATGTATGAGATACAGAATTAATTTTTTTTTTTTTTTTTTTTTTTTTTTTTCTTTGCATGGTCATTTCACTCAGCTTTCT